ATAGCTGAAAATTTGCATTTTCTTGATAATAGTATATGCGTTGTTCATATCACAGAGAGGTGCTATAAATTATTTTATTTTTAGGGATGCACCGAAATTAGAATTCCTTAATTGGACCCTTAATTCTTCCCTTGTGGACAGATTTGGGCACGAAGGTCTTAAGTTTGAACCCAATTTTAAAATACAAAACAAATAAAAAATTTATTTATTAACATATATGTGTGTGTGTGTGTGTGTGTGTGTGTGTGTGTGTGTGTGTGTGTGTGTTATTATAAGTATTTATTATTATTATTATTATTATTATTATTATTATTATTATAAGTATTTTAAATAAAATTCTTTCAAATCTAGTATTTCTAAATGAATGTAAATGTTTGGAACTTGACAAAAATATCCATCATTACCTGTTTTATTTTTACTATAATCAGTACATAAATATTTTTTTAATTGCTTGTAAAAAATAGCTTTTCTCTAGGAAAATGTCTCTATCGTAATACTTAAAGGTGCCGTGAAGTGCTTTGAAATGTGCATTTTTTATTTGATGTTTGACGTAATCTTAACTAAACCATCAAGAGAGGGCGGGGCATAGAGTAGCCCCTCCCGATTAAAAAAACAGCCAATAGTTTTGTTTTTATCACTGCTCTGCCAGTGAGAGTGGTTGAGCCCATCACCCATCAAGTGCAAAGCAAATGAGAAGCATCTTGAAGGGGGCGGGGCATGTCCGATACTAGAGAGCATTTGATTGGTCAGAAGATTTGATGAGAAACTGAAGTATGAGGTCAATCGTTAATCCATCCGCTTCGTAAAAACTTGCTGGATAAGTTGGCAGTTTATTCCGCTGTGGCGACCTCGGAGGGACTAAGCCGACAAGAAAATGAATGAATGAATGAATATTGTCAGTTCTGGAGCACACTAGCTTATAGATATCCTTAAAACTAATGAACTACTTTAGCTGTGCATTTATCTGAAAATAATGGCACACACTCATCAGCCAATCAGAATCAAGCATTCAACAGCACTGTTTAATACTACATATAATTGGTTTTAACGTTAATTTAATATGAAATAATCTCTACCTTGAATCTCTCCTGGCTGTCCTGCAGGTACAGGCGGTGTGGGCCGTTCCAGTTGCCGTAAACTATATCCGTCTTTCCGTCGCCGTTAAAGTCGGCCAGCGCTACTCCTCTCCCGTGCTGATATCTGTCCTCCACTCCTGTCATCACAGCAGAAATCATGAGTCTGAGGCTGTATGACGGCACGTCATGATTTTGCTGTCCATGCGATCTATGTTGATCCTGGAACATCATTTGTGTTGGAAAAAGTAATCCATACCTATTCCCGACCCCTAAACCAAACCATAACTGTAATATATTCCCAAAATCAGAGGGGAATAATAGTTAAAAATCATGTAGAAGTGCATAAACCTAACTGTAAACCTAAACTTAACATAAAAAGTAAACATATGCCTTAATTCTGATTGGCTGATTGGAATCATGTTCCAGGATCAACATAGATGTTAATGCAGAAACATGTCCTACTTGGTGAAATCAGGTATTAGAGTAAATCTCACTTCATGCATAAATATGTCTGACGTCTCACCTGCCGCTGACGCCACGTCGCTGAAGCTTCCGTCTCCGTTGTTCTTGAACAGAAAGTTTGGCCCGTTTTCATTGTCGCAGAAAATGTCAGATCTTGCATCGCTGAGGATGGGACCGACGACTACACCACGGCCACCTTATTAAGACATCAGATTTTGATTATAATATTTCTAGCATTAACATTGCACTACTGTTCAAAGGTTAGGGGTCAGCACCATTTATTTGATTTTATGCTGCAGATATGAATTAATATAATCGAAAGCGACAGTACGGGCATTTGTATTTTTATTAAAGATTTGTGTTTTTTATGCTGTTTATCATCACATTATAGTAAAATGTAATGTAATTATAAGGCAGCAAAACTGTTTAAATATCATTATATAATGATTAATGCTAATTCTTATTATTTAATGCTTTTATTACTGTAATTATATTTTTACTTATAATTAGAAATAATTATGAAGGTAATTATAATGACATTTTATTAATGTATTACTGTATTATTTATGATATAATTAGAAGATCATCAAATCAGCATATCATCACGATTTCTAAAGGATTATTATTTATTTTAAGTACATTTATGGTTTTTATATACATTTTGGTTTAATCTTATTTTATATGAACTGTTTTAATCATAATTTTATAGTTATATTATACAGAATTATCATAATTACTAGTTCCAAATTCATATATATATATATATATATATATATATATATATATATATATATATATATATATATATATATATATATATCTATATATCTATCTATCTATATATATATATATATATATATATATATATATATATATATATATATAATATATTATATAAATATAATATTAATAAAATATTAAATATTATAATCTAATATATATATATAATTATATAAATATAATATTAATAAAATATTATAATCTAATATATAATATAATTAACATAATATTTTTATTGTATTAATATAAAAAGATTTATGTATATATATAAAATGTGAAATATAAAAAATAAGAACTTTTGTTTTTGTTATATACTGATGTTTATTTGTCTTAATTATTTATTCTAATCTTATTTTTTATTATATTAAGTTATTTATGAAATTTCTACATTTTTATAATCTATTGCTATATATTTTTATGATTTTTCTCCAAGCATTTCCGCTCCCTTGTGGTCCTCTGAGCATCCATATAATCTGATTTACCCAAATCTTTAAAGAATTGTGTAAATAAACACTTACACATATAAACACAGCCTGTGTTGTGTTTCTGACCTGTGTACTTATTGACGTTGACTTGTGGTGCGACATTAGTCAGAGCAATGATGCCTTTTTCAACATCACTGCTGGCTTCATCCATCTCTATGAGCGCATGAGGTCCCACATTCCCACTGGCGTAGTTCGCCACGTAAATCGAGTAGCGACCCGTTCCCTGTAGTAGACGGAATTAATTACAGCCCAAAACAAATTATTTTATATACATCAGATTGGAGACACTTGATTTGTACAGTAATTTTTAAGGAATTAATGTGCATTATGTTGAATTAACACCTAGTGGTTGAACTTGGTATTGCATTCCAAATTCATAACATTGGCAGAGGGTTATTTGTACACCAACTCTCCAAACCATGACTCCAAGCAAATGCAGGTTGACAGTTTGCTCCAACATGCTTCTTAAATATCTCCAAACAAATACTATGGTACTTTACGTTTTAGAAGAACCAAAAGTGTACATGCAGCATCTTCGCTAAATACCTTTCTGTCAACACAAGCTACGGAGCGTCCTGCCATGTGATTGGCTACTCCTCTCCGAATGTTGATGTCATCGCTCAGCAGATCCTCGAAACGGCCGTTACGAAACTTGAACAGTTTGTCCGCGTACGTCGCTCGACCTTAAAACAATTAAATGAATTATTTCAATCATTGTTTGTTTTGAGAGTTCAGCGTTTCTCTGTGTACCTGAGAAGGCGTTGTTGGTGTTAAGGAAGTAGATCTCCTCTCGGCCGTCGCCGTCCACATCGCAGGCCGTCACTCCGATGGCGTTTCCCGCTGGGTCTCTCAGGGCGAAGTATGGAGAGCTGTGATCATCCACCGCGATGTTCAGCAGTTTGTTTTGGTTGAGGTTATACTTCAGAACAAGGTTTGGGCCGTTATACCTGACAATGGATGAACAAGCAAATCATTTATACTAGGGCTGCACGATATTGGAAAAATCTGGTGTTACGATTTTTTTTTTTTTTTGCGATATACATTGCGATTTGAATATAATTTCATTAGATCAATGGGCTACATGCACACAGACTTTTAGGGTGCTTTCACACCTGTAAATCGATTCAGTTGTTCCAAACAGAGATTACAAATGTTACATTGTTGCTCTTTGCTCATTGAGCGGTTCGCTTCCACACTGCAAAGTTTCCAATCGGACCAAAAGAGCTAAAATAAGTCACGTGTGAGTAAACTGTCCTCACATTGGTCAGAGTGTCAGGGTTTATTTTGCAGCGTCCCGCTAAGCCAGGGGTGTCAAACTCAATTCCTGGAGGGCCGAAGCCCTGCACAGTTTAGTTCCAACCCTGCTCCAACACACTTACCTGTAGGTTTCAAACAAGCCTGAAGGACTCAATTAGCTTGATCAGGTGTGTTTAATTAGGGTTGGAACTAAACTGTGCAGAGCTGCGGCCCTTTTGGAACTGAGTTTGACACCTGTGCGCTAAGCTGTCAGGAGAGGTGGTGGTTTGGTGGTGATTGACAGGGTGCGCGTGCATGACGTGTCTGAGGAGAGACGCGGTGTGGAGAGGTGAGAAGGGTGCGCGACGATGCCTATTTGAGGACCGGGAGGGAGACGCGAGATTACCGGGAGATTATTACTCGTTTGCGGGCATCAGGAGACAGGAAACTTTCCACCCTACTCATAATTCTCTCTTCATTTAGCCGTAAGCCTATTACATATCCATAAAACACTGTGATATAACCGCGCTCGGATCGGATCGCTTTCTCAGTGCAATCGAACCGCTCCAGGGTTCGTTTCAATGGAGCCGAGACCACCTCATTCAAGCGATCTCGGAGCGATTACTTTGGCGCGGAACAGAGCGCAATTGCCCTGTTCACATATGCCAAACGAACCGCGCAAACTGGGCAAACGAGATACGTTCCGAAACAAAAGTGTAGGTGTGAAAGCACCCTCAATTTAAGTTAGCTAGCCCCAAGGCTTCCAGTTAATTCTCATCCCATACAGAATCGCAGTGTTTAAGAACTGGTTTCTAAAAAATCCTCGATCTTCACTGCCTGGCTGAGATACGATATAAAGCTTGTTATATATATATATATATATATATATATATATATATATATATATATATATATATATATATATATATATATATATATATATATATATATATATATATATATATTACAAAATATATTTAAATATATGTAAATGTTTAGTTTTGTATGTATTTGTTTTTTGTGTGGATTTATTTATATATACACATAATAAATATACAAAATACACATATATATTACATGTAATTTTAAACCTATTTTGGATGTGATCAATCATTAGTATAATTTGTGTATATACTGTATAAAAAATAAACATATTATATATATATATATATATATATATATATATATATATATATATATATATATATATTGTGAAAAATAGAAAAATCAGAACAAGCAAAAGCTTTCTATATTCTGAGGACACCGCAGTTTAAAGGTTTGATCAAAATTAAAGGGCATTTCCAGATATCTCAAAGTTATTGATGCAAATATTGATGAGAATATTACTTTTCTTTATTATCTGGCACACCCAATCGGACAGCCTGATAATTTTCTGCATGAGTATCTTTACCCGGCCACCACCACCTCCAGATCCCCGTCTCCATCTACATCTGTCACCGCCATCCCATAATTCAGCTGGGTGGGGTTGTGAAGGGCATCAGGAGGCAGAACTGTATCCGTGGTGACAGAGAACATGGGCTGAGCATGAGAGACAGCAAACAGTCCCAGAGCGAGAAGACACGCCCACCACATCCTCATCTCCAGCTGTCAATCAAACAATATTCAGCTGCAGTATTCATACGTGTTACATATCAAAGGTTTACAAGCATTCTTGACTTTAATTTATTTTAAGACACAAATGAGAAACTGGATTTAAATTTTAAATACATCTAAAGAGATAATAAAAGGATGTATGCAAAACTGTGCAAACGTATAATTAAATTTTTGCGTTAAATTACAATATAGCACAGATGTATAATTTTGTATTGAAGAAAACAAAACATTTAGCGCAGAATAATGCAAATCTATAGACATATGACAGCATTATTTCAACATTATTTATTATCAACAATATTAGCTTTAAATAAATAGTAATATCTCCACTTCTCAAGCTGATTATGCTTAAATTCAGTACTTACGCTCTCAGATTTTTCAGTATGTGAACTTACTAGAAAAAATAACAGGGAAATGTGTGCGGTTTCCTATTTTAATGCAGTGTTTTTCGCTCCTTACACAACTTCAACGCAGCCTCCTTACACAAGGGCTTGTGTAAGCGACTGTCCAATCACTGTCGAACATTTTAAATGACGTGGAGCATGAACCAATCACACACCCGCAAGAAAAAAGGGGCGTCAACCACGCCCGGATCAGCATGCAGATGATGTTACCTCCCAAACAAAGACAAGCTGAAACTTTTATTTACTCAAAACACTACAGCAGTTTTACATTTGATTGACAAAATATAATTATTAACTATATTTATGTTTATAAATTATTGTACTGTTTATTGAGAAGATACAAGTTATAATGATTTAAAACACAAATTAAAAGATACTGCTAATAACACGTTACACGTACACTAGCTAATGTAGCACAGTTACACTAGCTAAAGTCGTAGTTTTTAGCAGGAAATCTATTATTACGAGATAAAATGTGCAGTATGACACGAAAAGCATGTAAATTCAGCTTACTACACGGTTAAACTACAACTCCCATGAAGCATTTTTGAATGTGACGTCACGGCGCCGGTACGTCTCCAAACATCCGGTCATGGTTTCAACGGTTTGGCGAACTGAAAAATATTAAGACGTAAGTACAAGTACATCACGAATAATGTATTATTTATAGACGTCAAGTTTAATAAAACACCGTCGAAGGATATTATTAGTGATTTGGATGTTACTATTAGCATTGTTTTGTTTTCTGAATGGCGATACGGTCAGTAAATGTGTGTTAATGTTATGAATATGAGCAACATACATATTCAAGTACGTTACTGTTTAGTCACATACATCAGTATGCAGCTGTGGACATATCAGTAATCATAATCAGTGGTGAGCTAATGTACGCTGTTGTAACTTGATCTTATTTTATAACATTGTAACGTTGTCTGGTGATGATTGATTTTGTTACAGTAGGATTTTTAGTTTGATTTAATTAATACGTCAAGGGAGAAATTGTTTCTTAAATAAAAGCATGATCTAAAATATGACTTATCCTTTAAATCCACTTAAAGTTATCAGTATAAAATTAATAAATGTGTTAAATCGAGCAATTCCAGAGTTACAGATGTGACTTTAAAAGTAAAATCTCAACATTTAACATTATATTCAAATATCTGTTTATATTTCCTAAAACAACTAATCAGAGAGTTATTGAATCAGAAAAATATCAATCTGTTAACATGCTTTATATTTTAAATGAGTGAAATAAACATGCGTTATGGACGTGATCAAGAAAGTCTGTGAGTTTGCTGTATACAACATACTTTGTAGAAATTCTGTGAATTAAACTGGCACGTGCCCCAGTAAAAATATCCAGTGCCCCAGTAAATGCTTTGAGATACAATTTACTTTATATGCAAGCGTATTTATTAGTGTTTTTATTAATTTATTAGTTTTTATTAATTAATATATTAAAAGATTCTGAGTAATTCCAGAATACACATATTACTCTCTATGTGCAACTGAACCCACACTGGTGAAAGAAATATTTTAATCAAAAAGCAAACTGATGCATGTGCTTAGAAAACTAAAGTTTAAAAAATTTTATGGTGAGCTTATTTAGACGAAGCATGGCTCCTGGTTGATTTTTTTTTTTTTGTACGAAGCAAAAAGGAAGGATTATGAGTGAGGAAGGTAAGACTTACTAAGCCTTATTGTCAGCCATGTGTCAAGTCTAGGACAACAGATCATTTTAACACATCTTTTTTATATTCGTATTGTCTATAGAATTTAATTTAATACTTGTGCAAAATATTTCTTTAATTATCAGTGCCCCAGTACAGCTTTATGTCTTGCAACGCCCCTGGCACAACCCAAAAGAAATAATGATAATCAAAGGGATGAGAGTCAGCTCACTGTAGAACAAACATGATTGTTTTTAATTTATTGTACATTTTTGCATTTATGAAAAAAAAACAACAACTTGATTTTGAATGTGACGTCTCTCCGTTATGGATATGACTGATGTGAAATTGGCACTTGTGTGACTGGTAAATAAGTAAAATAAATATAATTGTTTGAAACGTTGACAGACATTTTTGAGTATGTTTGTAGTATTGTAAAATACAAGCCTACACAAAAAACAATAAACATAAAAAACCTAGAAAGGGTTTCACTATTTTGGTAAAAATTTACCTTTTGATGGCAAGGTTGACATTTGCATGTATTTGCTCGATTGTAAAAAAAAAATACTATTTTAATGTGTGTAGATAATGGCTTCAACGAAAAAGTGATGTAATGGATTGACTCACTGCTACCAAATCACGATAATGTTATGATTTCTGGTGCATGTAAAATGCTGGAAATCATACTTACTGCCAGGGCCATTTATCGAAGTTGATATTAAGCCGCACTATATTGGTGTTTCGTAACATCTAGTTTTTATGTAGAGGGTTATTAGCCCAATGCTCAACCCCCAACCTGGAGGACCAAGACATACACACATACACTAGCTTACCCAATTCACCTATAGCGCATGTGTTTGGACTGTGGGGGAAACCAGACCACCTGAAGGAAACCCACACCAACACCAGGGAGAACATGCAAACCCTACACAGAAACGCCAACGACCCAGCCGGGGCTCAAACTAGCGACCTTCTTGCTGTGCGGCGACATTGCTAACCAAGATATACCAAAGCTCAAGATATGTCAACTCACCGCTAGGTCTGTCACAATAATCAATACATCGACTTATCGCAGAATACATGAACAGGTGATGCAATATAGATGCTTAATTTTGTTAGTTTGCTATTATAAAAGCAGCATATATAAGCCCGCCTTTGTTTCCACAGATCCTGATGGAGACCGAAGCAGCTCAGCCTGAACAAGGCTCCAAAACTGCTGTCCCGGCCCGAACTAAAAGGCCCACCATGGAAGTCTACGTTCCCAAGAAACGGCAGGCCGAGAAAACAGACAAACCTCAGTCAGACGGTGACAAGAAATCCAAACCCAGACCTCGATACACAGATAAAGCCCGCAAGAACAAGAAAGATAAAGCCAAAGTGAGCGAAACCCAAAACGGAGAAATTAAACCAGATGCTGGAGAACAAGGAGGAGGAGGAGATACAGAAAACCAAAACACTGAACCAGAAAAAGATGAAGAGTCCACAGGAGACATGAACACCACATCCAGAACTGTGCACTCCCCAGAAGACTCGAGCAGTGTGCTGGAACATGATGACGAGGAGATGAAGGACGAAGAGGAGAACTGGGATTCGTTATTTAATGACGACGGAGACTGTCTGGACCCCCATTTGATGGAGGAGGTGAGACTTATAGAGGTGGTGCAGAGTCTATTTTTAAGGATTAATTGTGTTTATGGGGTGCAAAACACAAAACAATGTGTCCATGCTTTATTTATAATAAAAAAAAATAATAATCAATTTATTATTTCACATTCATTGTTTTCTGTTTCGGCTTAGTCCCTTTATTAATTCAGGGTTGCAATAGAATGATTCACTATCCAGTATATGTTTTACGCAGAGGATGCCCTTCCAGCTGCAACTCATCACTGGCAAACATCCATACACACTTATTTGCACACATACACCGCGGACAGTTTAGTTTACCCAATTCCCCTATAGCGCATGTGTTTGGACTTGTTAGGGAAACCCCAGCATTTAGAGGAAACCCACACCAACATGGGGAGAACATGCAAACTCCACACAGAAATGCCAACTGACCCAGCCAAGACTCGAAACCAGCAACCTTTTTGCTGCGAGGCAATCGTGACACCCATTATTTCACATATCTTACTTTAATTAAATACTGCTACTCAGCTAACATGAAAACGACTATCATATTTGCTGGTTCCTCCGAATGCTATGAATCACTCCTTTATGGGCTGTTAATTAAAACTATGATAGCTAAATTTGGTTCCACACAAGCAAACAATAACAATCTGTTAATTTTAGCTTTTACTTTTGTTTCTACATTACCGCTTGAAACCAGCGGGTGTCAGTGTTGTGCATTTTTAGCTCGTCTGACCAGTGAATCCAGCTCCTGTAATCTAATCCAACAGCGAATATAGGGATGGCGGTGGAATAAAAACAACAAATTATTTTTCCAAAGCATTTTTAAAAGAGAAAACACTAAGATGCAAATACTAGCACTTAATACCTTTTGTTTTTTTAGACCATTTTGAGGGATGTAAACAAAAATGATGATCTCACAGTATTTCCTGTTATACAATTTTAATTTCAAGAGCTACATATTGATAAATAGTGTTATGAGAGCTCATTTAACATGAAGTTATAATTGCATCACCTCTTGTTAGAGTTATGAAATAGCTTAACAACAAGCAGGAAATGTTCATGGGCAAATGACATGACCACATTGAAATGGTCTGTACTTCAGTTTGTTAGCCTGGCTACAACCATTCCCTTCCATTGTATAACCAATTGTGTTCAAGATGATCATTACGTTTAAACAATCTTCAAAATTTGAGCTTAACATCGAGCATAGCTTTCTTTATACTTCAGTGAATAGTGATTGGCTGTCAGTGTTTTAGCATATATTAGCTGGAAAATTTTATTTTAAGTGATCTCAACAATATAATTTCACTGAATCTTTATTCTTATATTCGTGATCTTAGCTATAGCAAGCTGTTGTTTTACATTCAAAACTATTTTAGGACAAAGTATTTATCGTTATCTTTATAGTTACTTTATAGTTAGTTTGGTGGCCCTTAACAGATGATTAAACCCCATCACTAAGAGCTAAATCCAGTTTCTGAGTGAACTGTCCCTTTTATATTGAGATAATTAATACATGATGTTTTCCAGTACTGAGTTGCAGCTGGAAGGGCATCCGCTGTGTAAGCAAATGCTGGAATAGTTGGCGGTTCATTGCGCTGTGGCGACCCCTGATAAATAAGGGACTGAGCCTAAAGAAAGTTAATAAATATGTTATCTGCCCATTGAGAAGCATTCGCTCAGGTTTGTGCTCATGTTTGCTTCTTTGCATTGTCTCTAGATGTCTCTAAAGGAAGGACGCAAGAAGCAGTCTGCACAGGACTCAGGCTTCGACTACTATAATTGGTCGCCGCAGGATG